TTTGCCTCCGCTAGCTCCTCTTACCTCCAGCTCCGACCTCCACCGCCAGCCCAGCACCTTGGTCCCAGGAAGGACCAGGATCCGACCGGGAGAGCCCCTGTGGGGAGCAGCAGCCCTGGGGGGCTCGGCTGCCCCTTTCCTGCTCTATGAGCACCCAACAATGGGGCTCAGTATCTTTTCTCGCCCCATTCTCCTGCCCTTTCCTGCTGTCTCGACGACTTCCAGCCCGGCATCTCCTTCATCCCCCCGTTTCCTGCACATAGGATATCAGCATGTTCCTGCTCCCAGACGCTGCGGGCCCCCAGGATATTCTGCTGAGTGATGGACCCCAGTCTTGTCAAAGCGGCTAAGGGAAGAAATAACCTCCCCATCACCCTCTGCCGGGTGTTGCTCCCTGTCCGTGGCCAGACTGTCTGTGCACCCAAAGCACAGCCTGCTCCCCGGGAAGCCCTCCAAAGTGTTTTCCTGCTACAACCCCAGAGCCAGTGCCACGTGGTTTGACTTGTTTAGCACTTGGCCATACCCATGTGCCACGTGCCTGGCGGGTCTTGCAGCCGTAAACCATGCCCAGCTGCTCACATGCATGCTTTCAGCGTGTAGTTTTGAAGCAAGCTAGATGTAAGGGAAAATTCTTCACCGTGAGGCCAAACACTGGGATGGGGGACAGAACGGTGGACAGATTTTTTGTCCTTGGAGACAGGCAAAGGCTGGCTGGGCAGATTCTCCAGACCCTGCTCCCAAGACAGTCCCCAGATAATGCCCCCTGGGCCATGTGAGAGCCCAGCTGCACCCCGAGGTGTCACCTGGTGCCATTCACGCGAGGGCAAGCACTGCCCTGCCCCTAGGCAGCCCCGCTGGCCACATGCCCGGGTGCCATCCCAGTGCTGACCCCCCCGGTGCCCTCCCTCTCCTCAGCCACGTCCCACAAGGCTGGGAGCAAAGGTTTAACGTGGCGAGGTACGTGGCTGAAGGGGATAAGGCTGGGGCCGCCGGCCTGCGCGGGGCTCCTCGGCAGCGCGCGCAAACGGCTTCCTTTCGCTTCTCAGCCCCGCGTTAACCCATGCAGCGCGGCACTGCCCCCGCTGCAAGCAGCAGCTGTGGGGCCGCCCCGGGGT